CTAGTTATTAATTTGGCCTTTTGAGATGACAACGAAAAAAAAATGTAAATACCCAAGGTGGCTTTCATGAATTAATTAAGTTTGTGTATTGATGTTGTCTTGCAAGATAAATTTTCTTTCCCATCGTATAATTTTTGGGTACACCATCGAGGAGACCCGATTCAAGTGGCACTCCATTTCATCCTCTTTCTCTTCTCTCTATTTCAAATTGAGTTGGTAGTATTTATGAATATCAAGTGATAATAAAATCGGTTTTTACGAATATGAATGGTGACAGATCCCTTTTATGTGATAGTAAATAAGGATTAACAAATTTTATATTTTTCTAATGAAAAAAGAGATGACTTATGCATTTTAATTATATTATTTTTGAATTGAATTGATACATATAAATATGAATTCTGAAACCTATGCATGCATTATGGGGCATTGATAGGTTTAGTGGCAGAGTCAGGAAAAAGACTCAGTTAAAGCCAAAAGACCCAATTAGCAAAATCCAACTAATGTTAATGTCATATCACTTTTAAAAACCTAATCAATATTAAAATTATACTATAATTTTTTTAAAAAATCACCTATTTTTTCTCTTCTTTTTTTGTGAATGAATAAAATGCAATAAAAAAGTGAATATAATATTTTTGAAAATTGGCATCAGCTAGCCACCAAGTAAAAAAAATAAATTGAAATCCGATTAAAAAAATAATTTTGACAAACACAATTAAATTCCTACTATCTCTTTATTGGAAGCTGCGAAAGTTGTTGGAAGCTGCAGCAATTTATTGAATCCTATTGGGAGCTGAAAAGTTTTTCAAAGTTGTGCCTTAATGGAAGCTGATAGGTTTTTTGCAATATTTTATGCGCGAGCCAAGAGAAGTCGTGTATAAATAGAAGATAATTTGCATGGAAGTTTTTCTTTGGGAACCGTCTGTGCTCACATTTTTCATCTCCACAGCTTTCTTCATCTTCTGAACCTATTCGTTTTCTTTGTCTTTTTTTATACCTTTAGTTTTGTGTTCCAAAACTTGAAGCCCTTCGTTGGGCTGAGCTCAAGGCTGGGCTGAGTTGAAGCTAAAGGATGATGTCGAGCTTTTAAACTTGAAGCCATTTGTTGGGCTAAGCTCAAGGTCGAGGCCGAGCTAATAAATTTGAAGCCCTTAGCAGGGCTGAGTTGAAGCTCAAGGCTGATGCCGAGCTTTTAAACTTGAAGCCCTTCGTTGGGCTGAGCTCAAGGTCGAGGCTGAGCTAATAAATTTTAAGCCCTTAGTTGGGCTGAGTTGAAGCTCAAGGCTGATGCCGAGCTTTTAAGCTTGAAGCCCTTCGTTAGGCCAAGCTCAAGGCCGAGACTAAGCTAATAAATTTGAAGCCCTTAATTGGGCTGAGTAGGAGCTCAAGGATGAGGCCGAACTTTTAAATTTTAAGCCCTCTTTTGAACTGATGCTTTTTCCTTATGATTTAATGACCTCTAGGTCTTCACTTGCTCCATCAAGAATTGCGATGACGAGAGAATCTTTGTCAAATCGTCATCTACTTGAATCTAGAGCTCCATTTTAGAGTCTCTCAGAGGATCAAAAGCCTTTTTTGCAATAGGATTTGTCTCCTTATATATGTGGTTTCTGCAATTTCAAGGCGTGCGAGGTAGCCTGCAATCTATGGCTTCGTGCTATGCCGCGCGTGTTCACCATGGAGGGGAGTCGAAATTTTCCGATCCCCACAGACGGCGCCAATGTTCGATCCTAGAGAACCGTAATGATATACTGTATGATATGCGCTCAGAGATATGTTAGAGATAGATATCTTGATTGGCTTATAGCTAATACTCCAATTGTTATGCACAAGCAATAGGCTTATAGTCAAGACGTGGGTGTGTGCACAGTGTTGACAGTAATAGTAAATAGGTCAAATGTGCGTAACTAAGATCTTTAGCCTCTTATTTATAAGGATTACCTTCATAGGCTTGGGCCTTTGAGATCTCTCAGTTGATATGAAATTTGTCTTGATTGATGGGGATATGAATCTTATCCCTTGATCCTCTCTAGATTATATAGTTGCGATATATCTACCCAATCTTACTAGTAATAGAATTGCTAGGATATGAATCCAGTTCATAACACAGAGTTATCCATGTGACGTGATCATAAGGAGGCCAAGGCATGAAGAGAAAGTTGGGCCCTTATGTCTGCAAGTGTATTACTCTTTTTATCTTTTATTATTGTTTAGAGTGTTGTTGCTTACTCCAAAACTCGGAGCTCGCAAGCCTCGTTTAGCTAGGACAAGACAATTCAGATGATCATGGATATGGTCCACGAAAACTAACTCACACAATTATAAAGTAGGAAGCACTCGGACATAGGGTTGGCAAAAACGAGCCAACTCATCGGGTTGGCTCGTAACCCGCCAAAAATGAGTCAGGTTAGGTTGGCCAAAACGAGCTGCCAACCCGAGCCAACTCGGCTCGTTTCAACCAGTGAAAAAACGAGCCAACCCGCGGGTCAAACGAGCCAGCTCGCGGGTTGAGTTTTTTTTTTTTTAATAAAAAAAATACAAAATATAATATACAAAAATAGACAAAACTCACACATGTTGCCATCATTTTTCTTCTTTCCCTAAACCTAAGTTCCTAAACTTCTCACATACCTGCTATTTTTATATTGTTAGGCTGTATGGGCTCTATTTGGTTCAAATATCTTACACACTTGGTAGCAAGTGATTCTGATTGTTTCTTGATATTGATGCAAATTTGTTGCGAAGAAAATTCAAAACTAAAATATTTTGCTTTTATTTCTCATTTTGTAATCTTTTGTTTAAGCTAATGGAAGCCACATAGCTGGTGCATTAATACTACATGGTCATTTAAATAGGCTGAAAATAAGCCAACCCACGAGCAATTTTCGAGCCAACCCGCGAGCCAACTTGCGAGCTATTTTTTCAAGCCAACCCACGAGCCATATTTTTGAGCCAACCCGTCGGGTTGGGTTGAATTTTCTGGCTCGTTTTTTTTTTTCGATCCAACCCTAACCCGACTCGTTTTTTTCGAGTTGAATGCGGGTTGAGTCAGGTCGGGCTGGGTCGGCCCGTTTTGCCAACCCTTCTCAGACACTCATATATTTTTTTTGAAAAAATGCGTTATTTGACACATTTCAACATGTGTTAACACGCGATTAACTTTTTTTATATGCAGTCAACACTTCAATACGTATGACATGTATTTGGTCAACTTTTTTTTGACACATTTTATTTTATTTTATTTTATTTTATTAAACATAAAAAATTCATTTATAAATCAAATATTTTTTATTATAAAATTTGACATAAAAAATTATTTTATTTTATATTTATGTCATAAAACTTGAGTATTTGATTAGTTATATGACTATTATGAAATGTTATATGTATTGCATATAAATTATATTATATATATTAAAAATATTATTTAAATATAAAAATATATCTTAATAAGTCAAAATTTAATATTTTTGCGTATGGTGTCGTATTCTGTTTCCTATATCGTTCTCGGTGCACCATAATTTATAACGTTTCAGACAAATTTAAAATACGAATAATCAATTTATATTTGTTTGTTGTACTAGAGTTGCAAGAATATTTTAATTATCAGAAAACGGAGATATCACGTGATTCGCATATATGGAAGACATTAATGTATGTGGGGTCCTGTGGTCAACAAATTTTTTTTTTTTTTTTTTTATATTACAGACGTTATTCCATGTGTTCAAAAGTTATTTTATTTATTTTATTTCCAAAAACAAAAAAAAAGTTATTTTATTTTTTTAATATTAAAGACATTAATGTTTCACTATAAAATAACAAAGTTTTTTTTATTTTATTTACATTATTTCACTATTTATATATTCCCCTTTATGTTTCACTATTTCACCATTTTTTATGCATATATATAGCTCAATAATGTCTTCTCTATTCCGTAGCTAGTAGCAGTGTATATATATGGCTTAAATTTTCTTAAAAAAATAATATAAAATTATTAGTGCGACATTTAATTAATAATTTAAGTTTTTCATCGAAATGATTTTTTTCATGCTATGATCATAGCCTTTAAGATCAAGTGGCCACAATTTTAAATCTCATCCCCACATTTTATATAAAAAATAATTAAATATTATTAAATTCCTTAACACAAATAAACAAATATAATATACTGTCATCTCTTCAAGTTAAATGGATGCTTGTTTGGTGTGACGTATAAGGCATGATAGTATAAACTTATACTATACGTTATGACATTTTCAGTTGTTTGGTGGGACCATCGTATAGTATAAGCTTATACAACATAATCCCTTAATACATCAAAATGATGTATAACTTAATCCGGCCTAAGGGTGAATGATAAGACCTGATAAGAGATTGATGTATTAACATCGTTGACCAATGTAATTCTAAAAATTTAATATATTATTTTAATATTAATTTATTAAGATAAAAATTAAATTTTCAATATATTAATTTTTAAATATTGAATATTTTTATTTTTATAAAAGTTAATTTATATTTTGGACACACTAATCAATAAATTTTTATAAAAATTAATATCATATATTTTTTGAAGAATTATATAAATTATTTATTAAAAATATTTATTTTTATCATATGTAGTATTATACAGTGCATTATCAAATACTAGATAATATTATATTATACAATATATTATTTTATACAATACTGTGCCAAACACTGGATAGTATTAAAATTCAATCAGATCTTATACAATCAAACCTTATATTATCAGGTCTTATACTATCAGGCTTTATCCTATACTATACACCAAACATGCCCTGAGTAAGTTCAGTCAAATTGAATTTGAGTATTAATGTTATTTTTTAATTTTAAAAAAAACAATGACGTTAAATAGCGACAGTCTAATTAAAAAAAAAAAAAAAAGCAAATTTATTGCATTTGTTGCATCTTTTGTAAGAGGGTTACATATATCACTAGATAGACGCAGCGATCGATGTACGTAATTATTTGAACTAGTAATGAAGGAGAGTGACATTGTATTCAAGAATGGCATCACCAGTTGCAGGGTTGAGGAAATGGGCCCTGACATGAGCAAAACCTCTAGCCATCCTAAACTTGCCTCTTCCACCAACCACAGCCAACTCTCGATCTTTCTCAGTCACTGGATTCCTCGAAAACACACTGATAGAGCTTCCGTTGTATTCTCCTGTTGTAAATCCAAAATCTACATAATACACCAGTGTCAGTTTCTCACCTTGACTTGATGATAAATATAGACCCTCTGCATTCCCAATAACTTTTGATTTTTCATCTGGACCTTCTCTTAATGGATCATCAATAGCAAACGCATGCCCAAACGGGGCTGGTGATTTTTCACCAATGGTGGTGATGTTTGGGCGTGCAATTTCTACTGAACTTGGTTTATTTCCACTGAGCGTGTCGAAGAGGTAGAAATGGAGATGTGTGACTTTCTCTTTTTGTTGGAAACCGTTCAAGTCTGCGTAGTGGTATTCACAACTTACTAGAACGTTAATGTTGACACCACATAATAGAAAAGCCAAAACCATGAGGATTGCTCTGTTCTCCATTTTTTTTCTTCTTTGTCTGACACGAACACCACTTTGGTTGCTTGGCGTTTTATAGAGAGATGATAATTACCAGGTTCTTTATTATGTGGTATATTTTCCCCTTGTCTTTTTATTAGGGAAGGATATTGTGACAATCAAGTTGTGTTACTATCAATTAATCTCATCATTAAATTGATTATGTTGATCCAACGGTTATATTTATTTTTATCTTTATATGGTTATCATTCCTCATATTTAAAATGAAAGCATTAAATATGAGAAATCGTAACCATACAAAGGTGGAAATAAATATAAAGTATTAAATTTAGAAAATCATGACCATACAAAGATGGAAATAAATATAACCGTTGGATCAACATAATCGATCTAACGGTGAGATTGATTGGTAGTAACATGGTAGTAACACAACTTGAATGTTACAATATCCTTTCCCTTTTTATTATTAGTATAAAATAAAAAGTTATTATTCCATAAATATATAATTGACTTTGACATTTGAATTTTAATGGGAATAATATTTCTGCAGTTACTGTATATAAATTATTTACATTTATTTGTAAAACAACGTTATTTTGATATTGAAATCTTAAAAAGTTATAAATATAAAGACTATTATAACCTTAAAATAAATAAATTATAAAAATACCATGATTTTCGTCCTAAAACAATGTCGTATTAGACTAACTGCAGATAGCTTATCTTCGGTAACTGCAGAAAAAACAAACTCATTAATAATTATTCTATTAAGTTAAGTTTATAAATTGAAATAACAAATTCAATTTTATATATATGGAAAGAGATATTCTCCATAATTTGACTCTTGAACAAGGGATCTGTTTCATTCAATCAGTCTTGGAAATCCGAAAAAGGAATCATATCCCATTCAAACTTATATTTATTTCTTTCTTTAAAAATTAATATTCTCTGTTATTTTATACATGCAATTTATTTTCTGATGAAAGATAAGATATCGCATTTATAAATGTTGTTCCTATCAGAAAAGATTCAATTGGGGGGTTTTCATTTTGATAACTATTCTGAGGGGTGGCAATACAGGTATTGACCCGCGGGTTGACCTGTGATCCGACCCGCCAAATCACGTGTCGTGTCAACCCGCGGGTCAGGGCGTGTCGTGTCAGAGTTGTGTAAATGTGACCCGTTTTTTTTCGTGTCGGGTCACGTGTCAACCCGCGGGTTCGCGTGTCAACCCGCACAATGTCATTTTTTTATTTTTTTATTAAATATTTTATTATATTATTATTTTTATTCATTTATTTATTGATATATATAGTCATTGTTTAGTATAGAAAAGAATATAAGGAACTAAAAATCTCAAAAAATAGAAGCTAATCTTTTTTTATTTTTATTTTTATTTTTTATTGTTTTTAATTTATTTATTTTTCAAAAAATACCACTATTTTTTTAAATTTTAAATTTTGCGGGTCGTGTCGTGTCGACCCGTGACCCGCAACGGGTCAGGGTTTGTGTTTTGTGACCCGTTTACAAAACGGGTCGTGTCAAATAGTGTACGGGTCGAAAACGTGTCGTGTCGGGTTGACCCGTATTGCCACCCCTAACTATTCTTATTCTGTTTTTTATTTAATGATTACCAAATTAATAATAGGATTTGGTGTTTATCCCTTTAAAATATGAGTTTGTTTTTTCAGCAGTTAATACAGATAAATTATCTACATTGAACCCAAAACGACGTTGTTTTAAGACAGAAATCAAGGTGTTTTAATAATTTTAATTTATTTCAGGGTTATAATAGTCTTTATAATTATAATTTTTTAATATTTCAATATCAAAATGACATCGTTCAGATAACTTATTTGCAGTAACTGCAGAAATATTTAATATTTTTCTGTTAAAATATATTGAATTGTGTTCTTTTAAGTGTGAGAAAAAGATACACAATAAAAATCATGAAAAAAAAGTAAGTGCTTTTTAATTTAAATTTTAAATAAATTGACAATTATAAAGACAAATATTTTTAATAAGAAGCAAGGCTTGATTAGCTTTCCCAGCAATTAATTTTGGAGTTTTACTTTATTTACCTTAAATTTTCATTTTTTTAAGAAAGAGGTTATACTTAGTACTAAAAGTTTTACAACTCTTATACTAATTAATCATCGTTGATTTTCGTTAATTTAACAGTTATAATTTATTAAGTACACTTATTAATTAATTTTTAATTTTTAATAAATTATAATCGTTGAATTGATAAAAATTAATGGTGATTAGTTTAATAGTAAGAATTGTAAAAAAAATTAGTAATAAATATAATCACCCCATTTTTTTTATATAAAAAAAGACAAAATTTGACAATTTTATTTACGTTTCATTTTTCTATCAATTTTTACTCTTTAAAGGTTTACATTTGCACTTTAAGGTGAGGATCTAGATTCATAAATGTTTACTAAAATGAATAAATATTCACGTACGTGCGTTTTTGCTTAAGGGAATGTTGCCTGTCATATGCATTTTCTTAAATTTTTGTGAAGTTAAGAATATTAATATAAAGATAATTATATGGTAAAACGTTCTAGAAAAGTATGAGGTGGTGTTTGGTTGGAAGCTTTGATATCTATCTTTTTCAAGTATGGCTTTTAAAAATGCCATGTTTGTTTCAACGTTTTTCACCAAAAACCCATCAATCAAATTTGTCTGGATTTATGAGAAACATAGATATCTGCACTGTTTAGAAACCCAATTTGAAGGTGAGATTTTTCAGAAAACAGGTTATCTGACTTTTAGGCTTTTAATGCACCGTTGATTTCATAAAGTTACCTAATTTTCTCAGTAAAGTTTTTTCCCACCAAACAACTTTTTTTTTACATTTTTCTACCTATCTCACTTTATCTATCTTTCCAATCATTTCTCTATCTATCTCATTTCCTTACTATTCTAAAAAAATTTCTCGAACCAAGCGCCCCATGAAGATTCTTGTGGCACTCCAATCCCCCCTCTTCCCTCCATTTCAAATCCATTTCAAATTAAGTTGGTAGCATATCAAATAATAATTATAGGAGCTGAGTAAGCGAAGGTAAGAGCATGTTCGATACTTCTCTATATTATCTTTGAAAAAATTTAAAACCTTAATACTAAATCCGTTCCGAACAAAACTATCTCCCGCAGATGATATCTATGGTTTAACAAAAAAAGAAAGAAAAAGATATCAAGTGTTAATAAAAGCGATTTTTATGAATATTAATGGTGATAAATCCCTTTAATGTGATAATGAATATGGATTAACAAATTTTATATTTTTCTAATGAAAAAAGAGATTACTTATACATTTTAATTATATTATCTATTGAATTGAATTGATACGTATAAATATGAATTCTAAAATATATGCATGCATTATGGGGCATGGATACGAGCTTGAGATTCCATTTTAGAATTGGGGTACTTAAATGAATGAACGGTCAAATGAAGGAAGGATATTTGACCATCTTGTGGTCAATCCCTTTAAAATAATCCTGAATAAGTTGATTTGGAACATATTTTCCAACAGGTGATCAATTCTTTTAAGTTTTATCCTCATGCGTGTTTTATTTTTATTTTTTATTAAAAAACCCTTACAAATTACAAGGGCACACAATCCGGACGCTTATAAGGGATTGTTAATCTGTTTAGTGAATAATTAGTATAAATAATTGATAATGGTAATAATTATAGTAATTATTGATTAATATTGATATTAATTATTAAATTATTAATTGTATAAATTTATGAAAAAAATTCTGTACGTCAATCATAATTAATTAAATGGATTTATACAAATATTCCTTTAAAGATTATACAGTCATTAATAATTGTAACAATGTATTAATTAATAAATTCATTTATTTATTTATTTATGTGAAATGAATGAATATGGGAATATGAATATGTTATGAAAAGAAGAATGGAGAACTTTTTTGTTTTTTAAAAGAGGATGGCCCAACCTAACGCGTCACATGGCACAATTTTAAGCCAGAGGGAAATTTTTAGATTACCATAATAGGTGCATCCTATTAATAGAATGATGACATGTTGGCTGATATGTGTACCGGAAAGAAGAAAAATTATTTTTAATATAAATTATATATTAGCGGTACATAATTATAATATCAGTGTTGCACCTAAGTAGTGCATCAGCTGCTGTAACAAAACTGCTCTCTTATAAGATTTTTTTCAATTAAAAGAATAAAAAAGGAAAGTAGCAAGAGAAATAAGTGTTCAATCACCCTAGTCAGGTTGTTTTTAAAGAGATCGACTCTAAGATGGTCAAACAATTGTGAAATGAAGGTCAGATAAAAGATGTAAAATTATGTCATTTTAAGTGAGAAAAATATGAACAAAAAAATATAAAAGTGTGGATCTCATCTCTTTACGAGAGTGAAATGATATAAGTTGTGTCATTTAAAAGAAGACAAACACTTTTCTCAACAACAAAAAAAAGGTCAAATTACTTATCATAATCCAATTAAGCTACTTAAATCCATCAAATCGAATGCATAAATTAATTGTTGTTTACAAATGAACTCAATAAGGATAGATATGAGGGATTGGATGTTGGTGCCCACAGGATTGGATTGATACACTCCATACGGTTAGTACCGCAAGAAGAATAAAAGAAATTGCTTCTTGAATGGCTCCAATGAGTGACCTTGCTCTAATATCAAGTGTTAGGATCAAACGCCTACCTTGACAAAAATAATAACTACTATTTAGAGCACAATTTTATTTTATTTTATCCATTTGATAGTGCATATGTGGTGGGAACTCTGCACTTGATATATCAGAGCTAGGTCCAAACGTGGAGCTCTGTGGACGAACATGTTTCTGTAGCTAATGTCCACCCATTCTCCAAACGCTGTCTTAGGAAATCATAATAATTCTGTCAAAACGAGATGCTATTTCACATTATATATATCATACCCACGTCACATTCAATAATTTTTGCACACGTGTTAACTAATTATTTTAAAATTTTATTAGGTAATTATTTT